AATTAAGCAAGGAAGCTGATTTTTTGCCTAAGAAAATCACCCTGCTTTGATCCTGCAGTATAGCAGCTTTGGAATTACTCTTCAGGCAGCTGAGGGAGTCCAGTGGCCCAGTAGTGGGCCATTGGGTTAATAGCTCATTGTTCTTTAGGTCTAGTGATAAAGATCATCTTTTCTTATTCCAATAGTAAAGCTAACCTTTCTTAGGGGAATTTTGCTATCAACCAGGGGTCTTGGTCTCTTCCTGTATTTCATAGCTCTTGAACTCTTTTCAAAATCAGAGATCTACCCATGAAGACCAGTTTTCACCAGCAACTAGGGTTTAGTTGAGCAGGTAGGGCACTTATACACATGCAGGGAGGCTGGTCCAACACACTGGAAATCCAGAGCATTGGAACAGACTCAATTAATTGAGTTGAGTCTGCTGGAGCACTAAATTGAAGTGCTCTGGCAGCCTCACACATCATGTGCATCAGTGGCACAGAATACCCCACATTGAGAAAATGGCGGCAGTGCTCTTTGAACTAAAACATGTTCAGTGTGGTTTAGTTCATAGTGCACTACTGCCACATTCTCAGTGCTGTGCTGCTGATAAATGACCTGTGGGAACATACGTAAAAATGCCTGTGAAGATTAGTCTTTCTGAAGCCATTATTCTTGGAAACTTTTTTCTTCATAATGCCTTTCAAAAACAAGGTTTACATTTTATACTTGGGGGGTTGATATTCTATATGCAAGAAAATACGGTACCCCTCCCATTGGAAAAAAAAAACCCAAACAGAACCAAGCAAAAAACTAACTTTTGGCAGATGCAGATTGTGCCTAAGTGCTTTCTGTTTCAGACTTCCTTCAACTGACCCTGACTGAATATAGAATATGTTCAATATCTACTGTGTATCCCTTTGAACTGCACATCTAACATGAAGCCTGGCAAGGTAGAAAGTCTTTGGGCTACTTTGGGCACACATGGCATAGTTTGTGAACTCTGTTTGTGCCTATATTGAGAGCTGAACTGTTTCCCAAATAGAATTTTTTATTTTGCTCCCCCAAAGTGTAGTGAGCCTTAATGTATTTGATGGAACAGACCTCAGGCTGGAGAGTCCTTTTGGTCATATGTCTCCAGCTGCACATGCAAATTTGGTAGACTTGTTAATCTTAAGAAAAGCTGTGTGTGTGTTTGTTGGTGGACTATATGTTAAACTGACCTCAATTTGGAATGCCTGTCCTACCCTGTACCTTGAGAGGTATTCCATATTTTAGGGCGATCAGTGTGTGGATTTTAGAGCACTTAATCAGCCCTTTAAATAGGAAGGGTTTCCCAACCTTAATTATAGAACTAGTACTCTGCTATAATTATCTGTTTTATGGCTTTACACTGATGCCCACCAACAAAGTGTCCAAGCTCCTTCCATGTAGAATCAATACAAGTTCTAAAGTCACAAGTACACTTTTTAAAGTGTCTATCGTCTTTCTGTTCTGGAGTGAAAAAAATAATGCTGGGGAATTTTTAATTCCACTTCTTTGACTTGCTATAGACTTTATTCTGGTGGGGAAAGAAATGCTCATGTTTATGCTTATCCTGAAGTGTTTTGTTTTTATTTTAAAAATCCAACAAAAATATACCAATTGCTATGTATTTCCTTCATTCCTCACTTTATGCTGTATGGATCACAAAGTGTTGTTTTTTTTTTTTTTCTAATTTTACTTTGGTAATTTCTTTCTGGCTTTTAAAATTTTTAATATGCAAATAACTTAAATAGACTTA